GCCATATTCTTAGAAACCTCCAGCATGACTTCCCGGCATAAATCCTTCTGGCCAGAATCCAGCAGTGCCCACTCCTCCTCTGTGAAATCCACAGCCACTTCCTCAAAGGGAGCAGTACTCTAGAAAGAGAGACAACATCTTCATTAGTAGACAATCCCAGGAAACACTTGTATGTTTCAGGCACAAACCAGAAAAAAAGACCTTTGCAAGAGACCAAATGGACATTTTGTGGCAAAGCAGACTTGAGTCTTCTCCCCATAATCCTCGTGGCTTTGAAATTCCCAAGTTCAGGCTGTTGCTTTGGCTGTAGCAATCTTGGCTTAAGTGCATCTAAATAATAGAATAGCAACATTGCCCTGACTCAGGAGCCTCTTCCTGGTCCAGAATAATTCAGCAAGGAAATTGGGGAGACGGTATCCTTGGCCTCACCTGTCTGGTTCAGCAAATCGCTTAGAAAACAGGATAGGGGCCGTAACGCATTTCTAAATGGATGTGTGTTGGCATATTTTTGAAGCAGTTTTAATACAGCTTGCATTGTTTCACTTCATGGTTTTTATTGTTTTTTTTTTAATTTTAAAAACAAATTTTATTAGTTTTACAATTAAAAAACAACAACACACCTACAGCATATATACAAGGAAAAAGAAAGAAAAACAAGGCCTTGACAGCGGCCAAGCGTGAAAGGACAGAAAGAAATGCGGGAAAAGAGAAGAAAACATGGGAAAAAGGGGGGGAAATAAAGAAGGGTAAACATTTAAAATAGAACAGTATCTTTTTTGACGGTCTGTAAGATCTTTTCTTCTTCAAGTGTATAGTAAGCACAACTTACCGGTTTTTATTGTTTTAACTTCATTTGAAAAGTGTTTTGCAAAACATTAAGATGAAACTCCTCCAACACATAAAATACATTTCCTAGTATAGAATAACAGAGTTGGAAGGTGGTCTTCTAGTCCAGTCCTCTGCTCAAGCAGGACATACTGTACAATTCCAGACAAGTGGCAATCCAGTCTCTTCAAAAGCCTCCAGTGATAAAGCATCCACAACTTCTGAAGGCAAGCTGTTCCACTGGTTAATTGAATTGTCCTCAATGCTAGAAGATTTCTCCTTAATTTCCAGGTTGCTTCTCTCCTTGATTAGTTTCCATCCATTGTTCCCTTTCCCTTCAGATGATTGGAGAATAGGTTGATCCCCTCATCTGTGTACAAGCCCCTCAAATATTGGAACACTGCTATGATGTCACCCCTAGATCTTCTTTTCACTAGATTAAACATACCCAATCCCTGCAATGTTATATCTTTTGGGTTGCTGCCCCCTAATTATCTTTTGCTCTTTTCTGCACTCTTTCCTGAGTCCAAACACCTTTTTTTGGTGATATATTATTACCTTACCTTTTATTTTGCTATATTATTATTGTGAATAGCCCTTTGTCTGCATTCATAGAACAACCTTAAAAAATGAATGAATGTGACTCAGTGGGCCGTGCTGGGGAGACACCAGGTTCCAATGCACACAGACTTAGCGTTTGGTTGTAAGAGGAGCTCATGAATGGAAGGAATTTAAAACCTCTCATAAGAAACCCACACTTACCTGGCAAGGTGGCCCCAATTGGATCCTTCTGAAAAGAAGCTCTTTAGAAGGACTGGATCCATCTCCTGTTCCCTGGAGCTCTGCTGAGATCTCCCCAATGAATGGCTCCTGCAACTAAAAGAACAGCCCGATTTATGATCCACTTTCAAACGACTGTAATCGTGACAGTTCACATGGCTTACATTTTTCCTCTCCACTTGTACTTCCCCAACCCGAGTCAGAGAACTTGAGAACTAAAACATCTTTTAAATTATGACTATCCAGTGTATGACTTGTCCCCATCTGTTGCAATATCACCCAATGATCCAATGATACCATACCTGCCAGGTAACACGTGTAAAGCTATGATTGGTCAACATAGTGAGGCAGGTAACAAAACAACCAACAACACGTGTAAAGCTATGATTGGTCAACATAGGTATTACCTTATATGGTCAGTATGCCTTATATGGTCAGTTTCCTTATATGGTCAAATATGCAAATACATAGCCTTATATGGTCAAATGTACCCAAAAGGAATGTTTCCTCACACACCCTAAACCCCACCCTAAACTTGCACAATAAAAGAGAGGGGCAAAGTTTGCTCTGGGCTTCCTCCCCCAAGAACATGCCTTTGTGTCCTTGTCTTCATTGCCTCTGCGAGAGAAGCCCGTCTGGGCAGTCAGTCCAGGCGTGGGCTACCAGCTGACTCCTCATCCCTGCAGTGGGACCAGCAACTCATCAACTGGTGGCTACCAGCTGACTCCTCATCCCTGCAGTGGGACCAGCAACTCATCAACTGGTGGCTACCAGCTGACTCCTCATCCCGGCACTGGGACCAGCAACTCATCAACTGGTGGCTACCAGCTGACTCCTCATCCCGGCACTGGGACCAGCAACTCATCACCCATCCTGAAAGTTATTCCCACATACTATTACACCATCCCAACAGGTGTTGTTTGGGTGTATTTTCTCTGCAATTATGTGCAAGGAAGAGAGACAAGAGGCATAGAAGAGGATGAAAGTGCCTCATCTGCCGCCTCTTTCTGGGCTCTGGGGCAGCTGTGGGGCTGAGCAGGCAGCCTTAGGTGAGGGGAATCCTGACTTTAGGAAACATTTATTAGGTAGACCAGACAAGCCCCACAATCAGAGTTGGTATTCATTAGGTTCTGACCAGTTCTGGACAACCCGGAGTGGAAATTTTGAGTAGTTCGGAGAACCGACAAATCCCACCTCTGACTGGCCCCACCCCATCTATTCTCTGCCTCCCAAGTCCCAGCTAATCGGCTGGGTCTCCTTTGGTTGCCCTGCATAGGAGAACGGAGCTGGAAAGCAGGTTAGTGGAGTGGGGAGGGAAATGGGATTTTGCAGTATCCTTCCCCTGCCACGCCCACCAAGTCACGCCCACACAACTGGTAGTAAATTTTTTTGAATCCTACCACTGCCCATAATGCATATTAGCTCTCTCTTTAGTGTAAGACCACATTAATAAAATATTTTTAGATCCTCTCCTTGTACTCGCTGGAAAAGTAGGGAGGGTTTTAAATGACAGGTTCTCCTCACCCGCCCCATGGGGGGAATTGAGATATCTTTTGCATTATGGCTGTCCAATCCACAGCAAAGTATGAGGGAAAATAGAACGCGGGAATAAGGTCCCACAATGTTATTCCCACATTCGATTTACTGTTTATATCCCAACACGTGTTTGTTTGTGCAAGGAAGAGAAACGAGGCGTAGAAGAGGATGAAAGTGCCTCACCTGCCGCCCCTTTCCGGGCTCCGGGGCGGCTGCGGGGCCGAGGAGGCAGCCTTCGGCCAGGGCCACAGCCTGGGCGCAGCTCTCCGCCCCGCACTCCCTCAGCCAGCCCGACAGCTCCGGGGGCAGCAGGGCCAGCAGCTGCTCCAGCACCACCAGGTCCAGCATCTCGGCTTTGCTGCTCCGCTCGGGCCGCAGCCACCCCCGGCACAGCCGGTGCAGGCGGCTGCAAAGCGCTCGGGGCCCTTCGGCCTCCCGGGAGACGCAGTTGCGGAAGCGCCAGCGCTCAGCCTCGGAGCTGCGGGGACCTTCGGGGAGGCCGCTCCCCGCCTGTAGGGGAGACCCCGGGGCCTCCATTCGGTCTCCGGCTTCAGGGCAGCCCCGACGCGAGCAAACGACGGACCCTCCACTAGCCAATCGCCCCGCCCCTTTCCCGGTTGCGGGGGGCGGAGGGAAGCAGGGGCGGCTCCGCTCCCTCAGGGCTTCCGAGGCGGGGAAGAGCGGCTGTAAGTCGCTCCCTCCACAGGTTCTCCCTGCCCTCCCAGGCACCGGGGCAGAGACGGCTGCATCCTAGAAGGACAAAGCCCTACTAGGCGACTCCTGTCTAGAGCGTCTCCTATTGCAACTTAGCGTCTGCTCGGCCTGGAAATGGTCCTCTGCGCATGCCCTGTTCTAGGTTAAGGACGCCCGTGTTCAGTCGCTGCGGAAGTATTTAGTGGGGAGCGGGAGGGGATGCGAGTGGGGACAAGCGCTAGGAGGGAGGGATTGATGTAGATCGAATGAAACCTGGCTTGGCTGCCGCTTCTGGGCACTTGGGATTTCTCCCCCCGCCCCCCACCCCAATCCTCTTGGAAATGTGGGCGCATTGCTGGGACCCGTGGAAAAAATTAGGGGGAGAGGGAAGAGACTTGAGGAAGGGTGCTGCAAATGGGAGAAATGGGAAGAATCCTGTCAGACATCTAAGCCAGGGGTCTCCAACCTTGGCCCTTTTGAGGCTGGTGGACTGCAATTCCCAGAATGCCTCAGCCAGCTTTGCTTGCTGAGGCATTCTGGGAGTTGAAGTCCCCAAGTTTTAAAGGGACCAAGGTCGGAGACCCCTGATCTAAGCAGTAAATGTATTTATAATTAAATAAATATATAAGCAGTACATGGTTTGGAGGTTCCTTCAGGTTATTTTATTTCTCCTGTTGTCTCTATTCCTGTGGCGATCCTCAATGACCCCCCCCCCTTTTTTTTTCTTTCTAGTGTACAATCTGCTCTGGACCTTTTTAGTTGCTGTTTCTGTCCTGTTGGAAGTCTACGCTTTTTATTCATCTTTTTGGCTGGAGGTTTCCTGGCTGATTAGATTCTTTAAAAGTTGATGTGGTTTCAAGGGGCTGCGCTATCTTAAAAATATCCAGAAATTGACCTCCTGAAGTTGGGTTTCTCCCCCCTAGGTTAGGCCTGTCAAACTGGCAGCCCTCAGGCTGGATACCTCACATGCAGGCCATGCTCACTCCAGCTCTGCAGAGGCAAAATAAGAAATAAATGTGGTATGTCACGATGGAGCCCGTGACGCGACCGAGTTTGACACCCGTTCCCTAGGGTGGACTCAGAATTATCGGGCTCTGTATCATTGACCATGACAACGGGGTCAGGTAGTGAAAAAAAAGAATACACAGAAGGAGACAGCAAGAAAATCACATGCCATAAGAGTTTATTAATAAGGTTCCAAGAATATAAAGTTTCTACTCCAAACTCTATTGGTGAAGAATAATTGTGTTGGCAACTGCTCAAAAGGAGGTGGTCTTTCTGGGGCTGATCTCACTCCTTCAACTTCTCTTGGTCAGAAGATAATGAAAGGACAAGATTTCTTTAGCTAAAGAAGAAAAGGAAGAAACACGAACACTATTTTGTGGGAACTAACATCTGCAGATTGAAATCCTTTCTAGATTTGGTAAACGTATGCAACTTCAGGTACATGCTCGGTCTCACAAGACAAGATAGAAAGACACTGACTAGAGGACAAACGAAAATTTATGATGCCTTCTAAAGAGTAAAAGAATAGAAGTGGAAATGCAAGAACCACTAGTGGACAAAGGCAGTCATAGAATGGATTCCACGTAATAAAAAGTGTTCACAAAAGAGAGACAAGACATAGTCACAACATCAGCAACTATTACGGACCCAAATAGCAAAGCAAATCTCAAGACCATTATTGGTTTGGAAACATGCGGAACAGACCTTCATCCTACAGTGGATAGACAACGACTAGAATGATGATGAACATTCCATTTCTGTTTTATAGGGTTTTTTTTTTCCAGTCAATTAAGAGGGAAGTCAAGGAAGCTATCAGTCCTCCAGTTGGAAAAACTGGTGGGATGGTGATGGGCAACAGGGAGGAAACTGAAGGCCTTAATTCCTATTTTGCATCCCTCTTTCTACAGGGAGAAGAAAAAGGCAGGTCAAACTAGGAAAGGGAACACCTGGCTGTTCTGAATGAATTCCAGTATTTGGGACCAGAAAGGTTGTCCTGAAGCTCCTTCCGTGGATTTATATCATTTCTTCTATGGGCATTCTTTTATGAGAATTATGGTGTCCTTCCCAAGGAAAGCTTTTTCTACACACCTTACATTTACATGATTTCTCTCCTGTGTGGATCCTCTAATGGTGAGTTAGATAAGAGTCTACTGGAGGCCTTCCACTTTGTCCATTTGGAAGGTTTCCTACCAGCATGGACCCTTTCATGTGACGAGTAAGCTGTTCTTACCCAGTAAAATTATTTCCACCCTCCATTAATATGGAATTTCTGTGTGGATTCTTTCATGAGTAAATGTTTTGTAATTGTTAAAGCTTTCTCCACACTACATGTATTTATATGGTCCCATCTCCATGTGGATCATTTTATGGGAATTAAGTGCCCCTATTTGAGCAAACCTTCTTCCACACTCTGTGCAGTTATATGGTCTCTCCCCTGTATGGATTCTCTCATGGTTAATAAGAGCACTATTCTGACTGAATTGCTTTCCACACTTCGTGCACTTGTATGGTCTCTCTCCAGTGTGGATTCTTTCATGGCGAGTAAGATCTCTGTTCCAGTTAAAGCTTTTTCCACACTCAAAGCATTTATAAGGTTTCTCTACTGAGTGGGTCCTTCTGTGAGAATAAAGAAGTCCTGTCCGAGCGAAGCTTTTTCCACACACTGTGCATTTAAATGGTTTATCCCCTGTGTGTATTGTTTCATGACCAGTAAGACATCCTTTCCGAGCAAAACTCTTTCCACACGCCAAGCATTTATATGGTCTCTCCCCTGTGTGGATCCTTTTATGAGAATTAAGATGTGCTGTTTGAGCAAAGCTTTTTCCACACTCCATGCATTTATATGGTCTCTCCCCAGTGTGGATCCTTTCGTGATGTATTAGACCTCTACTCCAATTAAAGCTTTTCCCACATACTAAGCATTGGTATGGCCTCTCCCCCGTGTGCATTCTTTTATGAGCATTAAGTTGTACTGTTTGAGCAAAGCTTTTTCCACACTCTGTGCACTTATATGGTTTCTCTCCTGTGTGGATCCTCTGATGACCAGTAAGACATCCTTTCTGAGCAAAAGTCTTTCCGCACTCCAAACATTTATATGGTCTCTCCCCAGTGTGGATCCTTTCATGACGAATAAGATCTTTGCTCCAGTTAAAGCTTTTTCCACACTCCAAGCATTTATGTGGTCTTTCCCCTGTGTGTATCCTTTGGTGGAAAATAAGGTGCCAATTGTCAATAAAGCTCTTTCCACACTCCATGCATTTATATGGTCTCTCGCCAGTGTGGATCTTTTTATGAGAATTCAGTTTTCCTTTCTGAGTGAAGCTCTTTCCACACTCCAGGCATTTATATGGTTTGTCCGCTGTGTGGATCCTTTGATGTCGAGTAAGATCGCTGTTCTCAAAAAAGCTCTTTCCACATTCCAGGCAATTATATAGACAAAAGCTTTTTTCATATTCTGGACATTTACACAGCCTCTCATCTATGTGGATCCTCTGGGTGCAATTAAGATTACTCGTGCTACTGAAGCTCTTTCCACACTTCATGCATAGATTCATCTTTTTGCTTAGACTGAAATCCCCCTCATATTTTGAAAATGGGTCCAGTTTCCTATGCTGTATGTTAGGTGACGTAAAAGAGAAGGAACGACTCTTTGCAGATAGTGCTTTTTGCAATAAGTCTGGTTGGTTTTCATTCTCACGCCCCAGATCATCACAATCACCATCGCCTGCTTAGAAAAAAAAGAAAACATAAATTCTCATTAGAATTTACAAAGATGGAGAAGGTGGTGGGGGTGTCTCCCTAATGAAAAATATGCCCATTTGAGCATCAGGTTTGGCACTAGCTATGTGTCAAGCTAGGAGAGGGCGAGTGCAAATTGTTATCCAGGTGACTCTAAGGGTATCCAAGGGATTTTTCAGCCCAGAACCAGATTAAGATTTTGCTGTTAATAAGTCAATCTGCCCAGGCATTTCCATGGAGCATCTAAGGCACTGGTAGTCAACCTGGTCCCTACTGCCCACCAGTGGGCATTCCAGCTTTCATGGTGGGCGGTAGGGCTTTTGTCCCCTACTTTATAAATCACCATTACTGTGGAACTGGTAGGCGGTTAGAGAAAACTTTACTACTGAGATACAGGTGGGCGGTAGGTATAAAAAGGTTGACTATCCCTGATCTAAGGCCTTTCAACAAAGCTATGGTGAGCATTTCTGCCAAGGCCTTAGTTGTGTTCTAGAAGAGTGACTGTGATGACAACCTTGGACAAAATTGCCCATGAAGTACCTCGGCTGATTTATGATCCGGGAGGGCCCTGGTGGTTAAAGGGAACCAAAGGGTGCCGTTTGCGGCAGTGGCTCCTTCACTGGCTATTAGCTACACACTAAACATTCCAAGTCTGATTTTTGTGAGATTAAGAAAGGTTTTACAGGTGGTGGCCAGGAAGAGTTCTGACCACTTGATGCAATTTAGTGCAGGTATCTTCTCCATTTACCTCCGAATGAAAACACCTTTTCCAATGATTGGAACCCAGAGCAAAGAGGATCCTTACCCAGAGCAGCCATATTCATAGCAACTTCCAGCATGACTTCCCTGCACAAGGCCTTTTGGTTAGAATCCAGCAGTGCCCACTCTTCCTCGGTGAAGTCCACAGCCACCTCCTCAAAAGGATCAGAGTCCTAGGAAGACAAAGGAAAACTTCCCCATAAGACAGTCCTCTCTAATATTTTCTTTCTTCGTTCCAAAAGGGAAAAGAGAGCTTGGCCAGAGCCAAGGTCTTTAAGAGTGGGAAACCCCCCTCCACCTCCTCCTTGTTGTTGTTGGAAACATGGCTGAAATGCATCCAGGTTGTAGACTGGCACTCCTTAGGGACCCCCCACGCCCGGTGTGGAATAATTCACCAAGAAGGTTTTGGGCAGAGGTGTCCCATGGCCTCATCTTCCTGGTTCAGCAAAATACAAATGCGTTAGAAAACAGGAAATACGTACTAGCAATTTTTTACCTGGCCGATTTCATTTTATTTGTAAATGACCCCGGAAATATCAAATCACTTGACTTACCATTAAAATTTGTCAGCTTTGAATTAGGGGTTTTTAATATGAGAAATTTGTCCTTCTGGTAATTTATTTTTAAGTGGATATATTGGGCTATTTCTGAAACGGTTTTGGTACAATTGGTATTTTTCATTTCATGGCTTTTATTTTTTAACTGCTTTTCCAAAGTCTTTAGAAAAATATTAAGAAAGATTAAAATCTTCTAATATTACCTTTCCTAATACAAGATTCTTGTGAATTCTGCCAGAAAAGCTTTGAAGGTTGAATAAGTGAGACTCACCGGGTCATTGTGTGGGGACATCAGGTTCAAATTCACACAGACTCAGCATTTGGTTTTCAAAGTAGCTCATGAACGAAAGGGGTTGAAACTTCCCACAAGAAACTCACGCTTACCTGACAAGGTGTCCCCAGTTGGATCCTCCTGAAAAGAATCTCTTCAGAATCATTGGATGGATCTCCTCTTCCCTGGAGCTCTGCTGAGATCCCCGCAATGAATGGATCCTGCAATTGAAAGAAATGGCTTTATGATCCACTTTCAAATGACCATTTAACCATTTTAGTTTGCTTGCCTTACATTTCCCCCCTCCAATTGTACTTTTCCAACTGAAGTCAAAATGAGAGAACTTGAGAAGTCCTGCTCTGGGGTTGCCGTTATTTCTGGATAAATGCCTGTCACTTTTGTGAGTTGCTTCTTTTTTATTTCCTATGTTCCTTCTGATCAGGAGATGCTTCTTTATCTTCTGCCCTTTATTTGACGATTTTGGCCTTTCCTTCTTTGTGAATGTATTTATACCTATTCTTATCTCGTCTTTTTTCTCCTTTAGATTTCAGGGCCTTTGTCTCCCGAGAGGGACAGGATCAATCTCCCCTGGGGTGGCTTCTCTATGTCTCTTGCAATGAGACCAGCAACCTGGCATTTCTGGGGAAGATCCTGGAATAAATACCGAGATGGACTTGGGGGTAAAATGCACCCCCTAAAAACACTGTGACTGTCATTAAAAGACAATTTGGATACTTCATTCTATCTCACCTCCAATTCCCAATCAGGTTCAACTTATAAGGAGAAATATTTTAAGATAATTTTGGAAATATAGAAAGCAAAAGCTGAACTGGGGAGAATCTCTTGTTGGGACGGAATGTAACCTTTCAGTAGATTTGGCCAATAAACCACTTTTGCAAAATAATCCTGAAGGATATCCAACATGAATGAATGATATACTCTCTATATCAAAGCACTGGGACAATACAGGGTGCAATATTATTCTAAGGTGGACTGAAAGAATGATGTGCCACAAATTGGGAACAGATCAAAGTAGAATTCATGAGTAACAGTAATGAAAATCACGATAGAAACTTCCATAACCAAAAACTACCCAGAGACAGAGAGTTTCCTAAACTGCTTTTTGGAATAATATTCTGTGACATGACATGATTAAAAACTGACATATTACAATTCAACATTTTTTGGTCATAAATTGCAAAACATAGGGAATATGGATCACATAGTATGCATATGTTTGTAAAATATGATGTTTAATTTTTTACTTTCCCTCACTATTGTGGTAGAATAGGGCACATCAAAGCCTACAAAATGTTCTATTTCATTTGTTACGTGCAGCACATGGTCACATATTTTAATGTACATGACTGCTTTCTAGGGAAGGGGTCACCAACCTTTGGGACCTCAGGAACCACTAAATTCATAATTTTAAATCCTGCAGACCACTAATGTGATCTGCCTAATGACCGGCTGGATGGTTGTGGCTAGGTGGTTATGTGACTGGGAGGGCATGGCCAACTCGATGTAACTCATGTTGAGGGGCGCCTCACTGGCCTCTACTCACCCCCCCCCCTCCCAGCCAAACCTCCCCTGCCTGCCTGGGCTCCTTAGAGGCCCAACAGGATGCAGTTGTTAGAGCTAAAAAGCCGCCAAGGGAAGAGTTGGCCAAACAGCTGGCTCCGTTCAAATTGGATCTGACTGAAAAGGAGGCTCAGCAGAAGCACCTCACTGAGGACTAGGAGCAGAGGCTTTCCAAGCAGAGGGAAGACCTGTGGGAATGCAAGGCCAGGTATCAGCACCTGGAAGCTCGGCGGGCTGAGATGGTCAGCCAGTTCCTGGCCGTGATGCAGTCCCACTGGAACAAGGCCCTCCGTCTCTTCACCACCAGTGGCCCTTCCCTCCCGCCTTCGCCCAAAGCCCCACACCAGGAGGCTGAAACAGACCCCAAGTTGGAATTTCTGCCCCCCTCTGACCCACAGAAAAACACCCCAAAGGGAGAGACTCTCTGCAGCAACACAAATGTTCATTGCACGTATCTGTAGTTTGAGGACCCCTGATTTAGTGCAATATAAAAAATGCAAATAATCTTTCAGCGGACCACCAAAATTTTCTCATGGACCATCAGTGGTCCATGGACCACCAGTTGACTGCTGTTCTAGGGTGTCTGCACACAATAGAGTCAAAAAGCTCAAGGGGGAAAAAAGGGTTTTCAATGTTTTTGTCTCATAAGATCAAAACTAGGTTTTGAAATATGCAAGTTAAGCACTCTTTGATCCACCTAAACACTATTTTCATGTATTATTTCTTAACTTTTTATGATCCTCTGTTCATTCTTTATACAGATAGTCCTTGACTTGTCACCACATTTGAGCCCAAAATTTCTATTGCTTAAACAGTTAAGTGAGTTTTCCCTCAATTTATGATCTTTCTTTCCACAGTTGTTAAGTGAATCACTGCGGTTGTTAAGTTAATAATGCGGTTGTTTAATGAGTCTGGCTTCCCCATTGGCTTTGTTTGACAGAAGGTCACAAATGTCAATCACATAATCCAGGGATATGGCAACCATTATAAATATGGGACAAGTACCAAGCATTTGAATTCTGATCATGTGACCATGGCGATGCTGCAATGTGAAATGTGAAAAATGTAAATGTGAAAAATGGTCATAAACAGGGGTGAGAGGCTATCAGTTCTGCCCGATTCTATAGAGCCGGTAGCTCTGAAGAACAGCAGACACTGCACCGGTTCTGTGTTTGTTGCTGTTTGGCCCACCCGCCTGCCCAGGCTCTTACCTGTCCTTTATTTCTTGCTTTTTAAACCTCATGTCAGCCTTCAAGATTTTTCCTTCAAGAT